TATAAAAGGCTTGAGTGGTTTCCGCCCAAGTTGGAGGACTCCACGAACACTGGGAGGAGGAGACTTCATGCTGTGTGAAGATCTCTAAGCGCTGCGGATCCTTACGGACCCAACGCATTTCAAGTAGGCAACAGAGGTCTGATCAGTCTCTAGCCTCTCCCCGTCGCCGATCGCAGCCTAGACGTATCCCTCCCTGCGTGCAAAAGAACCGGACCCACGAAGCCTAGCAAACTTCGTGTGGATGAGTGAGCAGAAGGACCCACGGAGCCTAGCAAACTTCGTGTGAGTTTATTCAGAACTCTTCCGGACGAGTACTTTCTTCGGTTGACACGACGGGCTTGCGTGTTTAGAGCCCTTAGCCGGATTGGGCTAGAGTTCACAAGTCTAGAACTCTTGTCCGCCTCTCTTCTTTCCTGTCTGTAACCGCAACTCAAGCAAGCTTTCCAGCCTACACCACTGCCATCTTGGTGTAAGTAAATAATCTTTAAAACTACCGCTAAGCGTTTGTGCCTAATTCCAGCTCGTCGCCCTCCCTCTCCAATCCAGCGTGCCCGGGCTGCTGGCCACAGCCCGCGTGCAGCACGGAAAAGGGCTCGGGTGGCTCCCGGCCCGCACACCTACATGGCCTCCAAACCCAAATAATTGCCCACCCTTGGTCTAAGGTGTTCAAGCTGGGGGCTATAAGTGACAACCAGAGGGATTCTGTTGTCCTTGATCCAGGGTTGACGTTATAGTGGTCTGGCTTTGCTGACCTGAATGGTTACAGTTTTGGGATTGTATTGTAATTATAGGAATCTCTGCTCCAGATCCTTAAGATGTACATCCTGGTCAGTGGAATTACAGCAGATTGGGTTGTAATGTAGAGCTTGGCTGTAGATAATGGATCTAGTAGTGTCCTTATGGTAAAAGCTGGCGATATGAAGGTAGCTGCAGCAGTTGTTTGGTATGTGTGTGTAATAGGGCAGTACCCATCTCTGATGTAAATGTGGCTGATGACTTGGTATTTCCTCTTTTTCTGCCTAAAGGAAATCCCTCTGGCTGAGAGTGTTTGCTAAGTGATGTGGCAGTTTCTTGGGTGAGTCCAATTGCAATAAAGCATTCTCAGTCCTCATGTGACCTGCTGGGAGATATTACCACTGGGTTCCAACTACCCTGAGGCTCAGAGTTTCTATACCGGAGATAATCTGGACCCTATGGAGACTGGGAAGCTAACAGGTATTATATGTCACTCGTTGGAGTGGGAGGATATTCTGCCTTTCCTCCCTCCTTGTTGTAGTGTGAAAAGATTGGGGCAGCCACCGGTCCATAGGGGTGGAGAATTTGTTTATGAGGGGGTGGGTTTGATGACGGAGAGTCAAGAATTTTGGAGTTCGTTCTACAGGTGCTGAGTAAATGATTAGATCACCTGACAAGAACATAGAGCTCTGGCTGAGGACAGGTGCCAGAGAAATTGGGATGCTGGGGGAGAGAGAACCCATGCAGCTCAGAAGAGCTCTAGAATTCCTTCCCCAGCACACAGTGAAGGCAAACGCCAATGCAGGCTGTGTTCACTGTGGATCTGTTGATTTTCTGGCAGTGTGCTGGGTCACTTGTGCTCTGAGCAAGTTTATCAGACACCTCATTCTTTAGATTAGCTCACATGTCCT